ATGCCAAAGCCGATGATTGTTACTTTGTTGGATATGCTGCTCGAACTGCGTACAGGGTTTACAATAAGAAGACTAAACAGATTGTAGAATCCTTTGATGTTTGTTGGCTTGAAGAAAATGAGACAGGTGTGAGAGTGGGTCCTGATTGGTTATTTGACTACACATCTATTTTCAAATCATTCAATCTGTCTTCAGATAATCAAAAAGGATCTACTTCCAATTCAAAGATTCCTAGTGAAGACGAAGAAGATGAAGTTGTCTATCGACCACCATTGATTTCTTCTGATCCTCCATTGGTACCCTCTGCTCATTTTGAATCTTCTAAGTTTCCTCAAGAACCTTCTCCTGATGCTATTGTTACTCCTTTATCTCCAATGGAAAGAGAGTTCATGAACCACAAGACTTCCGTTGTAACTTCAAATCTGATGGAACTTCTCTTTCCAGAAAGTATTGCTGAAGAGTTTGTATCAGATTCTTCAAACGAACGTGGTTCATCCTCTACAGACCATACAACAAATGATGGAGCGGTTAATATTCATAATCTTCCTGTTTTTGTCAATGATATTAGTTATCAGATCCCCACACGTATTCAGCGAGATCATCCAATAGAAAACGTCATGGGACAGTTGGGCGATGGTGTTCAAACAAGAAGTAAAAGTGGGGATGTTAATACATGTCTCTACTCTTGCTTCATCTCTCAAATTGAACCTAAATCTGTCGAAATGGCTCTGAATGAGCCCAGCTGGGTTGAACCCATGCATGATGAATTAAATCAATTTGAGAAACTCGGAGTCTGGAAATTGGTGGAGCTACCGAAAGGAAACAAATCTCTTGATACTCGTTGGGTATTTCGAAATAAACAAGACGATTCAGGTGTCAATGTGCGTAACAAGGCAAGATTGGTGGTTCGAGGGTTTCGGCAAATTGAGGGTCTTGATTATACAGAAGTTTATGCTCCAGTTGCTCGTTTGGAAGCCATTCGTATCTTCCTTGCTTATGCTTCTTACATGAACTTTACTGTATACCAAATGGACGTTAAGACGGCTTTCTTGTACGGAAAGGTCAAGGAGGAGATTTATGTTGACCAACCACCTGGTTTTGTTAACTCATCTCTTCAACACCATGTTTACAAGTTAGACAAAGCTTTGTATGGATTGCATCAAGCTCCTCGAGCTTGGTATGCTACTCACTCAACATTTGCTCAATCACGGCTATTCCCGAGGTACCATTGATCAAACCTTATTTCTCAAGCATGTCGGTCCAGATCAAATTCTCGTTCAAATTTATGTGGACGACATCATTTTCGGGTCGACAAGCCAACAACTTTTCAAGGAGTTTGAAGCGGTAATGAAGAAGCATTTTGAGATGAGTTCACTTGGGGAAATGACCATGTTTTTGGGGCTTCAGGTCAAACAATCTTCAATCGGAATCCTTATTCATCAATCAAAATATGTGGAAGATGTACTGGAGAAGTTCGGGTTTCGAGACGCAAAACCTACTCTTACACCCATGGCGGAACGACCTCTTCTGACTCCTGATCTTGAGGGTGAATCCGTAGATCAAACTAATTATCGATCAATGATCGGATCACTCATGTATCTTACTGCTAGTCGCCCAGACGTCATGTTCGCGGTTTGTCAATGTGCTCGCTACCAGGCTAATCCTAAACTCTCTCATTTGATTGTTGTTAAAAGGATTTTTCGGTATCTCAAAGGGTGCCCAAAATTGGGTCTTTGGTATCCGAAAAATCCCGAATTTGATCTTTATGCTTTTGCAGACAGCAATTATGGTGGGTGTGAGCTTGATAGAAAATCGACTTCAGGAGGATGCCAATTTATGGGAGATAGACTGGTGTCATGGCAGTTCAAGAAGCAGCACACAGTCTCAACCTCAACAGCAGAAGCGGAATATGTTGATGCATCTACTTGTTGTTCTCAAGTCATTGGGATCCAACATCAGTTGTTGGACTACGGTTTGAATTTTCAAGAAAACCCTATTTTTGTGATAATGAGGTTGCGATTCAAATTGCCAAAAACCCGGTCCAGCACTCAAAAACCAAGCACATCGACATCAAGATTCATTTTATTCAAGAATGTTATGAGCGTTTGCTCATTCGGCTAGAACAGGCCCACTCTGATAATAATGTAGCAGATCTGTTCACCAAGCCTTTTAACAAAGCTCGATTCAATGTGCTGGTTAATTTTCTAAAAATGATTCGTTTTGAGGATTAACTTTTTTTAAATTTAAATTTGCGCATTTTATTTCATTTTATTTTTATGCACAAATTTAGGGGGAGAAAAATAGAAAATCCAAAAAACATTAAAAAATAGAAAACCCAAAAACATTAAAAAATAGAAAAACCAAAAACATTAAAAAAAAATAGAAAATCCAAAAACATTAAAAAATATAGAAAAACCAAAAACATTAAAAATAGAAAATCCAAAAACATTAAAAATTAGAAATTATGTTTGAGGGAGATGTTCTGGGAAGTGATATGATCATGTGATAACAAGCAACCTGAGTCAGTGTAACGTACCCAAAGTTGAAGGGTCTATGCTCTGGTTTGATGTGTCGGTAGGCACGAAAGATTCTAAATGGATATGACTAGGCAGAATTGAACTTAGGAAATCAAATGACTTGACAAATCTTGACCTAGATAGTTCCGTTTATCCTGAAAATACGATGCTCAGATAGGTTGAGCAGGGAGATATATATGGGAATCTACTAGCCACATTAAATGAACCCGTATCTGGAACCGTGGTTTAACTTTTCCTCCATTTGCGGATTCTCTCCTTAATTCCGGTATTAATGAGGCAACTGGTAAATTCCGATAAATTAGGTCTGTAGAAAATCATTTTCTTTCTTTCTGTCTATTAGTCATATGTTACCTCCTCTGCGTGATTGGAAGAGATCCGACCTAGACTGTAACATATGCAACTCTATTTCTCTGCATATTATACATATACATATATGAAATTCCTCTTATCTGTTAGCCATATGATGTCTCCTTTGCGTGACTAACAATCCGACCTGGTACACAGCATATGCACTATAAGTGATAATACTCTGAATCTATCTTCTCCCCTAATGATGGTCTGCTCATCCGATGTAAGGAGTACTCTGGAAGTCCTTGATTACCGGGGCATATCTGGAAGCGGGAAACATGTTCCAGTATAATTAAAATTGAACACTCAAATATTGTCTATAGATCTCGCTGCTCAATTTAGGTGGACAACAATATCCCTGGTCGTCGTCAGCTAATGGTCCTTAAGATATAGTAAGATATAGTATCTAGAAACTTAGGATCAGATATAATATCTAGGAACTTAGGATCACATTGTCTTGTCACGTATAGTATATCCTAATTTTGTCACAATTTTTCGTATTTAAGTGGACAACAATACCGACAATCGACCAGACAAAGATGTGAATATGAAAGGTACCGACAAGCGGATAATGGTTGTCTAAAAACTTTGATCTCTAAACCTCAACAGGTTAAAACAATTTATATAGGTTTAAATTGATTCTTGTCGTCAATAGTATTTTCAATCTTATTTTATTTTTTATTTTTATTTTATTTATTTTATATATTTTATTTTTATTTTTTATTTTATTTTAAATTTTTTTCTTGAATCTTTGAAATTAAAATTCTATTAATCCTCAAAATAATTCATTTTTGAGAAAATTGTAAAGTGAAAGGGGTTTTGGGATAAATAATTAAAGGAAAAGGGGGAGAAAGTGAAATTTTTTGCATATATATAGTGTGCGTGTGCGGTGAAAATCATATAGTCACTATTCCCGCTTCAACCGCACACATATTTACTCTCTCATACTCTTTAAATTTCCATTAAGTTTTTTGAGATAACAAGCCTTTTACTCGGTAATTTTCATGAACACGGCTGAATTTTTAATTACTTTCACAAAAATTTTATATAGCTTGCAGTTGAATCATCATAAAAATTTGTTTATCTTCAAGTGTAACCGCACACGTTCGTGTGCGGCTGACCGTGTGCTGCCACACTCTTTCATGAATAAGCGTGTGTGGCTGACCGTGTGCTGCCACACTTTTTCATGAACAAATGTGTGCGGCTGACCTTGTACAGCTGCATATGTGCGTGTACGGCTGTGTGTAACTCTGTGTACGGCTACATCATTCTTATATGTTGCCCTAATAATTTCATGTGTTAACTTTCAGATTAAAATGGGAGACATGGAGTTCGCTAAAGCTCATAATTATGCAATTTTTCTTGAAGATCCTCCTGCAGCCCACAGTGACTTGAAATTCATTGTGGATGGTTTGAAGAAATCATGCCTGGTTCATTGCTTAACTACAAATCTTGCTATCTACCAAAGTTTTATTAAGGATTTCTGGAGAAATGCTGATGTAAAGAAGAATGATCGAGGTGAAAAAATTTCTGGAAACAACAATCGAAGACAAGAAAATTCTAGTTACAGAAAGCATCATCAGAGAATCTCTTCGAATTGAGGACAGACCTGAGTACCTCATGAAGATTGACATTCATGAAATTGAGAAAATTTTAGAGCATATGGGATATGAAGGAACTTTTCCTCCTACAATCAAAAAGTTGCTTCCTCCATGCTGGAAGCTTTTGGTTCATGTGTGCGTGAGTTACGTTTCGGACCGGAGATCAGGAGCTAACGAGATTTCTCTAGCCAATACTGGTGCCATTGCTGCATTGGCAGCAGGCTTTGAGTTTAATTTCTCAAAATTCATAATAAATGAAATGATACTAAATATTGAAGGAAGCAAAAGAGACAAATTTTGTATGTATCCAAGATTTTTACAAATCATCCTTAACGTAACTCACCCCGAGTTGCAGAGAGGAAATGATACTCTTGATTTCAAATTCATTGGTCCAAGTGCCTTTGTATTAATGAAGCAAAATAGAGGCGGAAAATTTGTATTTGAAGGAAAATTTCCTTTAATAAAATTTGGAATTTTTAAAGAGGATGTCAGAGAAGAATCAGCAGATCAATCCATGCCGATGGAAAATGAAGATACTCATCACTCTCCCTCCGAGCCTGTAGTAGAGGAGATTCATCACTCTCCCACAGCTTGTGTAGTTGATGAGCATGATTACAAAAAGCAAATGATTCAATATCTTCTCGAGGGGATGATGACAATGATCTTTATGAAGATGTAGAGTTTTTGAAAGAAATCGACTTTACAGGAATCAATGATGACATTCCAACAAACATAGAGTTTGATTTTGGTGATGAAGATTTTGATCCTTTTCTTGATATTCCCAGTAGCCGTGCAAATAAAGTCAGTGAAGTTGCTTCTCTAGCAACCAAGACTAGAGATGAAGGAAATTCTCTCAAAGTTCTGCTATCTACCTCAAAGCCCTTGGAAATCACAACAAGCCAAGGAGATGTGTCATCAGAGATTCCTCCCTCTGTGTCACCTGTCTCAACATCAACTCCAGTCATTTCTATGTTATCTGAACCTCAGACTTCTCAGACCTCCATAAGAACAAGCCAATCTCTTGAAAGTCTGGAGGTACCCTCTGTGAAATGTGCTCCTCAAATTATTTCAACAATCACTGCAACCACTACTCACTCTACTTCAAAGCAGACTGATGAAGGTCCAAGCACCATGTTCTGTAACAGCCTGGAATTTCAGGTATTGTTATAATATTGTTTTTGCGGTGTTTTAGGAGGGGACTCGGCGAGTTGGAGCCAGACTCGCCGAGTAGGACCACAGACTTGGTCGCGGGTTCGCGACTGGACTCGACGAGTCCAGATATGGACTCGGCGAGTCTGCGCTGTTCAGCGGAAACCCTAGCCGTTTGGTTTTGGAACGTATATAATGAACTTATAGGCCGTCATTGTCCGTCTTTAGCCTACTGAGAAGAACCCTAATCGGTTGTGTGTATCTGGAGCAAGGATTGAAGGCCATTGGTGACCTTGAAGAAGTTATTGTGCAAGGAAGAGAAGGGTTGGCTAAAGGAACAGCAAGGGAATCAAGTTCTAAGGATTGGGGACACAGAGAGTGCATTATTCAGGTAACAATTCGGATTATATTCTGCTATGTTGATGTGTGCATGGATTTAGGGTTTATGGAACCCTTTTGTGACTAGATTGATTGTTATCCTTGTTCCCCAAACGATTATAACCCTGTATTAGGACCTTTAGAGGTCCAGAATGTCCCATGCTTGTGTATTGCGGGAATTAAGAGAGGTTTTGGATTGGAATCCTTATGCCTTAGGTCAAAATGTAAATTATAGGCCTTGGGGTGTAGCATGAGCACCTAAATGAAGGCCTTACGTGTTGTACCAGCTTAGGAGGACCAAACCTATGAATGGTCGGGACAATACTGACCTCAGGAAGCAGTTTGATCGACTGCATGGCATGGACTCGCCGAGTCCAATGAACAGACTCAGCGAGTAGCTTGGAGAATAACTGGGACTCGTCGAGCTGTTCTTCAAACTCGGCGAGTGGAGTCGGGGTGGCCCCGCAATTCTTCCACGAGGAACTCGTCGAGTCAAGAGGGATACTCGACGAGTAGAAAGGGAACATCAGGTATTGGTGAGGACGTCTAGACTCGCCGAGTCGCCTTAGCACTCGCCGAGTCCGGTTAAGTTGACCGTTAACCGTTGACCGTTGACCAGAGTTGACCTACATGTGATTTCTTAGGGTCAGTTGTCTTGAAAGATAAAAGTATTAATAAGGGATATATGATATTATAGGGAGTCTGTAACTCGGCGGATCGAGTGCGAGTGATTTCAGGAGTCGCTAGCTTGCATTACCCACGAGGTGAGTCTTCTCACTATACTGTACCCAGAAGGGTTTGACTGTGTGACCGGAAGGTCGGATATGATATGTGTTATACGTGCTATAAATGGAAAGGTAATTGCTATGCGTGCTATGTATGTTTATATGGGCCGGAAGGCAATATGTTATGTGACCGAAAGGTCGGATATGATATATGATATATGTGCTATATGTGTTAGGATAAATGTATTATGTGCTCTGTATGTTTATGGGCCGGAAGGCAATATGTTATGGGCCGGAAGGCAATATGTTATGGGCCGGAAGGCAATATGTTATGGGCCGGAAGGCGATTCTGTTACGGGCCGGAAGGCGTTGTGTTGTAGACCGGAAGGTCAGGGCCTGGAAAGGCGTATATGTGTAAGTAGTATACTGGGGAACTCACTAAGCATTTATGCTTACAGTTGTTATGTATGTGTTTCAGGTACTAGCGAGGACCGTGGGAAGGCGCCAGCGTGATGCGTACACACTGTTGTTATTTTGAGATCTTGGGGATTTTATGATTGTATTTTGTTATGAAACTTGGAATAATTATATTTAGTTGAATAAAATCACTTTATTTTAAATGAAAAAAATTTGTTTGAAAATTTGCGTTGTTACATGTTCGAGACTGGTGGATCCTCTTCTATTCCAGAATATTCTCCAACACGACCTTCCCTTGATGAACCTTCTATCAGATTAGTAAAACATCTAGCTCAATCTAGTCCAACCTCTTCACGCGGAAAAGGAATATCATTTAACGAGGGTCGGACAGATGATGACAAATCTTCTTCATCTGATCTCCGAGAAGAAATTGGAATTCTCTGTCAATAGCTCATTGAAAAGTCAATTCAAATGGATCAGCTTTCTGCACATATATTTGAGCTCAGGGAAAAAGATGAAGAAAAGACCAAACAAATCAAGGATCTACAAACGAGTCTTGGTTCTGTTCTAGCAAATTATTTCAATCTTAAGAACGTATTGTACGATGCCTTTGGTGAGAAAGTTAAAGCCCTCTTCCAAAAACCTCATGGAGTAGTTGATCCTCCTTCTATTCAATCACCTCCTGCAACTGATGATCTACCTGTTGACCCACCTGTTCCAAGAACAACTACCATTGTCGACAGATTTGAAAAAGAACCTGAAGGAAGCAGAGCCAGAATCACAATCAAGCAGGGCAAAAGAATCGTAACTGCAAAACAAAGCGAAGGCCTTTTATTCATGAAAAACTCAAATGAAAATCGCAAAACAAAAGACCATGTCTTGATAGTAACATATTTGAAGAAAAGAAAGTTCGGTGATGAGTATGGTGACAGGACAGGCATCCGAATGTGGGCCTTTGATCCAGTGACGAACTTGTGGGTTGTAAAGCGAAAATCAGGAGCATCTGAATGTTACAAAAGCACCCATGATTTCAACTCTTGGACCAAAACTAATCTAGCTGAATTATCCAGGGCCCCATTCCATAACCCCTCTGAAGATCCAAATGCTTCAAATTTCAAAAGATTTCTTGACAGACAGGTCAAAGAAAACTTTCCTTCAATGAAGACTGCAAAAGCCCTATACAAAAAGGACAAAGGTGTTCTTGATCCAGATACAGGCGAACCCATGAAGATTATACTCTGGCCTGCAACTAAGAAACAAAAGGAAATTCCTATTCCTCAACACTTTCATGAGGGATATCTAGATGACATGGAATTTTGGGCATATGATGACGAAACAGCTACTACAGCCATCAAATTCAAGAATCGACAACATATTCTGAGATTGATTAGTGCTAAAGATCTTCTCCGCTTCAGAGAAAGGGATATACGAACTTTGGACCATCATCAAATCATTTGCAGAAAGGATGTCATGGAAGCTGCTGCTAAAGAATACACTGCAATGGTAGCTACAATTTTAAATGGAAGATTATGGATGGGATCAATGGGGAGATCAGATCTGAGGTTGTTTGAGAAGCCTGCTGAGGAGCCAAAGGAGTGAAGACAAGACTATGCTAGTCCAAACCAAGGGGGAGACTGAAAGAACATAATTGTGTGGTTTGAGCTAGGCATCATTTTGTATAGATGATAGTGTCTTTTTTGAGTGATTATGTGTTGTAGTGTAATGTGTGCTGCCACACATGTGTGTGCGGCAGCACACATGTGTTTGACTGCACTCTCCTGTGCTAGTGTGAGGAGTACTATTTATAGCAACTAAGGTGTGTCAGATTGTACTGATTTTGCTGGTGTTAGAACTCTGTTGCAGTTGTACTTTTCTCAAGATGTACTTGACATTTACTGAATATAGATGTGTGCATGCTTGATTTTAGTTCTTCTTCTTCTACATCTCTCCTTTATTATAATTAACTTCATTGATTACTGAATTGGATCATTAAATTTGGGACTCACACCTGCCATGACGTTGAGTTTTATCTACAACGTCATAGGGACCTCCTGTTCATTAAATTTTTATTATGGACAATTAAGATTTTGATATGGATAATTATAGTAATATATATTGTTTAGTTGGATAAAATCTGAATATTTAATTTGGTAATCTGATCTCCTAATATCTTGAATCTTTTAATTATCCTCATGACTCAATTAAATTTAATTATTTGATTGGTTATAAAGATTAATTTTGAAATCATTAACAGAAATTTCCGAACTTTATTTTAAATGATTAAAATACAACCTTATACTTATATAAAGAGGATATAAGGAAGCGGCCTATAACATGAGTCATTTGAATCACTATGATGCCTCATTCACAAAGTCATGCTATAAAGAGGATATAAGGAAGCGGCCTATAAAATGGTTGTTGGATGGGTGCCAATTCTTACCTGTCGCTCTCATTTGTGGTGGAGGGTCATTAGTAGAACGGGTTCAATAGAACATAACCTCATTAAAAGTATAATGCTATAAAGTAACAGAACCTTTTTTAAATTTTCCCACTCTAGTTACTTCAGTAAAAAATGTGAAAGTATGCTAATCCATGAAAACACACATCAATCTTTATGAGCTGTTAGTGGAGCGTGTATTGTTAACCAACACACTAATTAGGGACTATAAAGTTGAAATGATGGCACAACACAAAATTATCATTAATTAATGGAGCGTGTGCCGTTTATCAGCACGTTAAGTTGAGATGATAAAAGACGTTGAGGTTGTCCATAGGTTTTGCATGATTATCCGCATCTTGTTTGTGATCCTCGGTATCCAAATCACGAAATTGAAGAGCGTAATCAAGATTAATTAAGCCATTGATAAGATTTAATGAATATCGAATGATCTAGGAATTTCATATAGATTGAAATTGGAAAAATGCATTACCTACCTTAAATGAATTCGTGATTATATTACGACATCCTTTTTCTTAATTTCGAATTTCATTATTGGATCCAAGCCTTGAATATTAATTCGGGTTAAAATATCAAGGATTAAATCAACTAAATAAAATCTTGTCTTTATAGAGATGTCTTCAAGTGGTGAACTTCCTCATCCTCCTCCATCAAACCACAACTTCATTCTACTATTGGTCCATGCTAAGGACATGCTTATCGGTCCAAACTACATGGACTGGACGAGGAATCTAAAGATGATGCTTCACTATGAGAACAAAGAGTATATTCTTACTACTCTTATTCAAGAAAACAACAAAGAAAATATCACTCCTAAGGAGATTGATGATTATGATCTACACATGGATGATGCCACAAAGGTCTCTTGCACTATGATTGCAACTATGGAACCATAGCTCCAAAAGACTTATGAGGATTACTGGCCATATGAACATAACATGACCCTATCTCAAATGTTCCACAAGAAGGCAAGACAAGAGCTTTATGAAGTGGTAAAGTCCCTTACGGCATCGAAACTGAAGGAAAGGAAATATGTGTGTGCTTATCTGCAGAAAATGCAGAGGCATGTGCCAAGATTGGAAAAGCTAATGTAAACTTTGATAAGGACATTGCCATTGACGTGGTCCTCAACTCTCTGACAAACAGTTATGATCAGTTCATATTGACCTATCATTTGAACAATACATAGACCACGTTGATTGAGTTTCAAAATTTGTTGCAAAAGGATGAAGCATGAATGACGAAGTCTCATTTCCAATTGTTCTGCAAGTGCCCCTGTCATGGCTATCCAAAAAAGAAAAGGAAAGAAGAGTAAGGGCCTTTTCTAATCCAAATCGAAAGGTAAGGTCCATCATGGAGAGTCCAGTGGCTCAAAAGCAAAGCCTAACTTCAGTACTCCTCATGTTGCCAATCCAAAGGAAGTTGTGTTCTTTCATTGTGAACAAAAGGGCCAAGGCCAAAGCAGCTGGATCTTTTTTGGTACGTATTCTATTCAAGTCAATAATACTAATATTTCAAGTTCTTGGCTTCTTAGTACATGATATCGTTTCCAAATTTGTTATGATATGCAGGGACTAATGGAAAGTGAAGAGGTCAAACATGGGAAACTGAACCTAATCATGGGAAAATAATGAAGAACAGTTGTTACTAGGATTGGGAATTACGAGCTTATGTTTGATAGTATTAGGGTTGATTTGGATAATTGTTGTTACTCGCCAGAAATGACTCGAAACATTATTTATTTTCATGCTTTATTTAGACAAGGATATTGTTATGGTTTTGATAATAATGATGTTACTATTTTAGTTTATTTTAATGGTGCATTTATTTTCAAATATTATCCTTGTGATGGTGTGTATTAAACTATTGTTTGCATCAATAAATTAGACAACAATGTGTATAATATTTGTCCTTCAAATAGTTTATGAAAGTCATGCATATGACATTTTCGTCTTGGGCACATCAACAAGAAACACATCACCTAACTCCAAAAGGATCGAGTGTTGGAATCGTTTGATCTGAAATTAGATGATGAATGTGATTCTTGTTTGTTGAGCAAAATGACTAAGTCACCTTTCACTAGTACATGTGAAATAGGTGAGTTTATGTTGGCCCTAATCCATATGGATGTGTGTAAACCATTCAGATTTGCTACAAAGGATGCAAATCACTACCACGTTAAATTTACTGATGATTATAGTAGGTATGGTTATATTTACTTGATCAAACATAAATTAGAAACATTTGAAAGGTTCAAAGATTTTAAGAACGAAGTAGAGAACTAGTTAGGTAAAAAGATAAAGATGTCACGATTGATTGAGGTGGTGAGTATCTTAGTATCAATTTTAACGACTATCTAAAGGAATGTGGAATTTTTTCACAACTGGAACCTCCTAGAACACCACAACTAACTGGTGTAGCAGAGAGGCGTAATGGGACCTTACTTGATATGGTTCGTTCCATGATGAGTCATGCTTCTCTTCCAATATCATTTTATGGGTATGCCATAGAAATAGTTGCCCAGATCCTCAATCTTGTTCCAAATAAGAAATTTGCCGAGACACCTCATGAAATGTGGACAACAAAATCTCCCTCACTTGTGCATATGAAGGTTTAGGATTGTTAGGTTCTCAATAGGGAAGAAACCTCAGACAAACTTGAACCCAAAGCCGAGAAGTGTTTTTTCATCGGTAATCCATAAAAATCCTTTGGATAATTATTTTATAGATGAAATGACAATGTGGTGTTTGTTGCTCGAAGATGAGTCTTACGTGCGAGAGAGATCATTTGCAAGGAAGGCAGTGGGTGCATGATTGATTTTGAAGAGATTCAAGAGTCATATGATAAAGCAACTTTTGAAGATACTAGCTCTTAACTTGAGAATGAAACTGTTAAGATCATTGATAATTCATTTCCCCTTTGTCGGTCCAGTAGGGTTAGCATGACACTTTCATTCTATGGTTTCCATATAACTGCAGAAGGTGATACACTT